TAACAATTAAAATTTAGAATTATTTCGCAGATTAGTGTTTTGAAGCAAAGGTGTACTTTGTTCGAAATGTGAGTGTCTTTTCATTATTTACTTAAAATTTTAATTGTTTTAACAAATATTACTTTTTTAACAAATATTACCATAATTTCACATACAGGTCGTTCTTAATTTAGTCGTTAAATTTAGAATTTTTTCTTCAATACGGACCTGTCGTTGAATTTTTTAATAAAATTGGATTAATAATCAAGAGCATACAATAATATTGACGATTTTCTTAGTTAAATCTCGATAAGTCAATAATTAGGAAAAAAATAATTTTTTTTTTACTTTTATTTCACCGTTTTATCGAAACATTCAAATTAATAAGTAAGAAAACTGTATGCGAAAATACCAAAACCACTAGGTGTAACTCATTTTTTTCTGTTATTTTCGAAATTATGATATACAGGGTGTTGTTTTAGGTATCGAAGAATTTGTAAATTTTTTGTTAATCCGGACGTGGATTTTCCCTATCATTAATACGTCACTGGATTTGACAAATTAAAGTGTACTTGTATATTAAATATCAAAAAATATACAGCGTGTTACAAAAGTTATGAGCCTAGAAAGAAATCGGCAAAACACCCTGTATCTCGGTTATAAAGGACGACAGACCAATGAAGTATGGGTTTTTTGGAACCACCTAGGTGACCCCCGTATGCAGTTAACATATGCCTATTTACCAATAAAACACCCTGTATATATTGATTTTCACATTGTCAAAAAATATACAGTATGTTAAGCCGACGAATCAGGCAAAATAAAGTTGATCTGCTTAATTGTATTTGAATAAGAGAGCGTTAAAGAGAGTAATTGATTTAACAACGCCTTTTCGATGGCAAGCATAGGATAATGCGGTCCGCACTCATTTGTGTTTTTCTATTTCTCTTTAAAAAATGGTATTGTGCTCTTTACCGTTCTCCTGGAGGCTGCAACAGTGGCGCATCCAGAGTTTAAGTCTGGAAGGGTAGTGGTAATATTTAAGACTTTATGTTTAATAATACATTTAGGTACTAATAAAAAATAAGGCTTAACATTTTTTGTGGGTAATTACACCCATTATCCCTCTCCCGTATATGCGCCCCTGGTCAGGATGGAAAAGTTAATATATTGTATGTTAGAAAATAATTATACAATGTTATTAAAGTTGTTAGATATTACAAAAAACATTGTTTCTTATGTTGCAAAAAAAAAATGATAAACTGTTCACTATCTACGCAATAAGTAATGAAAATTATTGAAAATTATTTTTAGGAGAAAAATGGGGAAATTTAACAGATTCAGCTAAAAGTACCATATTAGAATGTAAAACTGTCGAATTATCTTTAAAAATGTATTTTAAAATAAAAATTTGTTTTGAGAAGTCAGTCATAATTATGAGTATCTAACCTTAGAGGAAACTCACATATCCAGATTAAAAAGTAACACCTTCTGCACTTTTCAAAATCAAACCTTTGTTACTTCTTATTCTACCACAACCTCCGTCCATGTAGCAGATTTCTTTAGTGACCATGATCGAGAATGTCTATTACTTGCTGATGAGTCCTAATAAAGACAAAAGCGGTACAATAATAACGTTCTCCTTAGTAAGTAAGATCAAAGTTTGAATGCTGAAATAAAATTTTTATCTTTGTTGTTTTTCTTTGGATAATTCTTAGACAAATGAGAAGTTGTTTTCCGAAGGAAAACGATCGCTCATTTCATTTTGTAATACATGGCTTAGAGAATTTCTTGTTTCCATTTATTTTACGTTTCGATCACATTTAAGTTTGAAATTATTTTTCTTTTTTAATTAAATATTTGATTAGAAGTTTCTGATAAAAATTTTAAATTTACTAATGGATATACCCATAAACTCTAAATTATTTTGATTAATTTACGCTCATTGCAAGTGCATGCCATAGTACTGTGGAATGATATTTCAAATAAATTCGAATTCCTTAGATTTATAGTTTTTATGTGAAATAAAATATCTATTTTTAAGATCTGAGCAATCAATATTCCCATGTAATAATTTACATACAAAATATATATTTTTTTATATAAAAATTCTGTTTAAATTATGTGATTCTAGATTTATTTGCTATAATAGTTATTTATGGTCTATTTATGGTGCATAAAAAATTTTATACACGACTCTTTTAATGATAATTTGTTAACAAATATATAAAATTTTAAGTACGATCGTTTTAATGATCGTTTATTAATAAATAACTATTATTTTATCTTTTTCGCCTTTTGTAAGCAGGTTATTATAAAATAAATTTACTTTACCGCCCGGGGGGTAATAAAGTAGTTCGCGGCGGAAAAGTAGTACGCGTGCGATAAAGGGGTGCTTTACGCCCGCTAAACGTATTAATAATCTGGACTTTATCGCCCGGTCGTGTATATATATTTATAAACATCGGCATCAAAACTTAATTCTTTATTAATACTCTTGCAGAAAACTCAGAAAAGAGTTTATTCCTCCTCACGGAAGTTCTTTATATATTAGGAATTAATTAAATTTTTAACGTTGCCAGCACAATGGTTTTTATGTTATGCCAATATTTTTTGTTAAATTCCGAAGAATGCGATATTATATTGAATTTATTGGTTAAAAGTTTATGCTCGAGTATACTGGTTTGATGCTCTTTAGGGTAATTTGTGATGCAAATTTTATATTGTTTGGCAAGAAGGGTTTGTTGTCTCTGGAATACCCATTCATTGACTAGTCTGCTCACTTTTAGAGCCATTCTGCTTCTAATTTAATGTTAAATTGAGAGTAAATGAGAGTTCTTTGAATTATTATTGCCCATGTCAGACCTACCTCACTATTTACTTAATGTCAAAGATGATCAGTCTTTTAAGTAGTGCAGAAAGGCATTCAAATAAGATATGTTCCGCTATTTGTTTTGCTGATTCTTCAGTGAGAAGTCTTCCAAGCCAATTAGCATGACATCGTCTTACATGAATACAGTATATTTATTCAATGTGTCTCTGTTTTGTTTTTAGAATATATTTTTTAAAATGATGCCAACATGTTACATTTGCCCCCGAAAAAGGAAAAATGTAACACTTGAGCTTCAGGTGCGGAAAAACGTTGTATTATTGGCAGAAAGCGATAAATGTAAAAAAAATATATATTACGAAAAATGTTGTGCAAAAATTATTTAAATCGGTTAATATTTAAGAAAACAACAAAAAAAATACGTGTAAAGAAGTGACATTTAATAAAACACAAAATTAGAGAGAAAAATCGAAAATTTATTACATTAACGACAGAAAAACCTCCAATAAAATCTTTTCCTTTAGAAATAGCAACCCTTCCAAATGCAACCTAAAAAAGCATAAACATTTTAGCAGCTAAACCTCAAGTAAAACACCGAAATATTTATAAAATTAACATTTACATCTTGAGGTGTTAACTAAAATTTTGATATGAAATAACTAAGTAAGTAGTTTAAATTGTAAGACATAAAACAAAAAAGGTTACTCTATTCAAGTTACAGAAGATGTTTACAAGAAACATTTTAAGTATTAAATCCATCAAACAAGATATTAAAATACAGTAACCCTATCTATCTATCTTCGAGTGGTTCTGGCAAAGTCAATGCAATATCTGCTTCGTTTACCGTAACAATATCGTATGCAGGAGGCCAATCAAATCTTATCGTATCTTGTCGTTTAGTTGAAATTCGTTTTAAAAATTTTACTTCCCATTCATCTTCCACACGTCGTGTTATACGACCAACATAGTTTTTCGTGTTCTTCTTTGACGTGTACTTTACTAAAACTTATTTCATTTCCTTTACTTCTTGATTTAATTCGTTTTCTTCGTTGTCCTGAATTTCCCTTTCTTGCACTATATTATGTAGAAACTCCTCTTCATTATCTGATTCTCTGTATTTTATTTCTTCCTCTTCGTCTTCATCATTGCTACTAATATCTTCCTTTTTGCGGCACCTTGATTTAACTGTGTTTTGTTTTTTGAGTTATTTACGCTCTAACACATCTGGAGACGTTAAGACTTCTGAGCCTGTACCTACTCTCTTGCGCCGTACACTTTCTGGTCGAGGGCTTTGCTTGATCATTTCCAATAGCAATGTTTCAAAGTTTTTTGTTCCATCTTTAATGGTATCTGCAGTAGACGACATTGACGGCAGTGGTTCTGCATTTGAAGCTAAATTACTTGTTTCATTAACAGATCCTATAATCTGTTTTATCAGAATTGGTCCCTTGGTTTATTTTCATTTTGTGCCAACGACTTAATGCCTCTGGACAAAATTTTTCATCTGGTATGACTGTTTTGTCAAAGGGGTATATTCCTCCATTTTTAAAACTATTCTGTATCACCTCAGGGGACAGAAGTCTCCAGGTGTCCCCTAAAAACTTTGAAAATGGAGATTTTGGTAGCTTACGTCCAATATTTTGGCGTTGCCATGATACTAGTTTTTCATCCCATTTGTCTTTAAAAGGCTTGAATACTGACAAGTCTAACGGTTGAAGCAAATGGCTGCTCTGCGGAGGTAATTTAAGAATTGTTATGTTTTCTCGACTCTATTACCTCAGGACTAATATGAGTCGAATGTTCATCATATATGATAATAGCAGGACGATTTTCACCCAGAGTTGGTAAAACAGTGCGCTAAAAGTAGTTTTTAAATATATCTGTCTTCATCCAGCCCTTTTTTGATGCCGCGTAAACAGTTCCAGGGTAATCAGATCCTTGCGGAGCACACCATTAATCCCACATGTGTAGTCCTTTATAGATAATTAGTGGCGGAGCCTTTTCGCTTGCAGCATTCGCCATTAATAAAATTGTTGTGTTTTCCCTCCCTGGACCACTAGTAATTCTGGTTGCAGATTTTCCCTTTCCCCCATAACACGGGTCTTATTAGGATCAATATACAGACTGGATTCGTCAAGATTCCAAATATTAGATGGCTTGTCTCTAATTTGAAGGTTGTCTAATGTTGATTTTTGGAGGCGGTTGGTAAATAGTTGATTTCATATATTGTCCCACAAGGTGTAGCACCTCCTTTCTCGACAAACTAAAGCCCTATTTTGCTAGTGTTTTCAGTCCGGTGGCTAACGTCTGTTTAAGTTGAGGTGAAAGAATCGTGTAACGCTCTTTTCCTTTTTTTATTTGCCCACGGGAACCTTTACAGTTAGTGTATATTGTTGAATAAGTACATTAAATACCTTTGTAGCTTTCTCAGCAGTCAAACGACCTGCCTTTACTTCCAAAATGGCTTCTTCTAAGGTATTTTCATTATAGGTAGGGCCGTTGGTCTTTTTAGTATAGTTCCTAACCATGACTCCTAAAACGAAGAAGATACTATTGGAGCAGCAACCTTTACAATTTATCAATTTATTTAGGAGTAAATTTAACATGGGCTGTTGCAATTGCCCCTATATAACATGTTACATTAGCCCCGAATCATATTTCTTTAGGGGCAATTGTACCATTAACAATAATCATTACTAAAACAAAAATGCTGCTAAAAACATTTTTACACAATAAACATATCACCTAAAGTGTAATTCTAAGATCAAACTTACCTGTCTAATATTTACTCAGTCCTAGAAATAGGCTATGGCTTTTATTAACTTGAACTGAAAACTGCGGCGTAAAAATCACTATGACTTTGATCGTTTTTAACAACAGACTAACAAGTCGCGGCAAAGAGTGATCAGTCTAGAATAGAAGCAGCATACTCCCTCACAACAAAACATGCTCATAGCGCCCTCTCAAACACATCTACAGAACTGTTATTAGTAAATAATACATTTACCCCGTTATTACATTTACACCAGCTTACCTTATACAGTGAGCATCATAAGTCTTACCCCTCCTAACTAACTCGTTACTGGGGTCTTGTTAGGAAAATCGCCGAGACAGGTCGATTTTTGATTTCTACAATGTATATTTTTGCATGATTAGTTTGCCCTTAATTTCATCCCTTACTGGAGGGTAGCAACCCTTTCGAAAAATTTAAATTGCATGGGGTGGTGAATGATAGCTCATTTGAAAGGGGGTTTTATTCTCTATTCAACCGTGCAAAAAAATTGAAATTTGCTTTATAACGTGTTGATTTATTAATGTTTAAAAATAACAAAACCTCACAAAATAGGAAAGCAACTAGACTAACAGTGACCTTCTAATGGCAAAAAGTCTTACTTCACGTCTTAACCAAAACCGAAATCATGCAGGGCCGAATTTTAATTCTAAGGATGAGTGCGCTACGTTAATTTCCGTTATTCTGAAACAACAATTAGTCGAGAATTAATGAAGCAAATTTTAAATTTTTTTACACGGTTGAATAGAGAATAAAACCCTCTTTCTAATGAGTTATCACTCACCACCCCATGCTATTTAAATTTTTCGAAAGGGTTGCTCCCCTCCAGTAAGGGATAAAATTAAGGGTAAACTATTCATACAAAAATGTACATTGTAGAAATCAAAAATCGACTTGTCTCGGCGATTTTCCTAACAAGACTCCAGTAACGAGTTAGATAGGGGGTAAGACTTATGGTGCTCACTGTATAGTTTTTGAACGAGCTTTGATTTTGATTATATTATGACTTCTTATTTTCACACAACACCATCCATGTTTACGAGTCAATTTAACACATCTACAGATTTCATTAAAGATTAGAATTTAGAATGTGAATACTTGCTGATGAGTCCTAATAAAGACGAAACTGGCCCAAGAATAACGTTATACTTAGTAAGCAAAATCAGAGTTAGTAAACAATTTTCCATTCTACTATTTTTTATCGATTATAATTTAATACCTGTTATGGTATTAGCCAAAGGCGTATATTTGAGGTTTAGAAAATTTAATTTTCTTCATTTCAGTTGGAATTATTTTCCTTTTGTTAAGTGAAAAAATAATTTGTAAGTTATTCTCTTGCGAAAGGTTTGAGGTTCAGAATTCGGTTGAAGCTATTTTTTTATATAAATTTGTTACATTCTAAAATTAAAATCTTTGTAGTATTATTATTTTTAAAATCTAGTAATTTTATCTCAATATCTAAATTGATTTTGCAAATTTTGTAGATTTCCTTTAATGGGTCGAAGAAAAAATTTACTTGACTGTTCAGCACTCTGCGTGGAAAGTCTTGCTTAGACTTTGTTTTTGTAATATATGGCCATTATATCAACTCTTGTTACACAAACTACTATTGCTCATTTTATTCTTCGAATGGCAATGAACATCATATTGATTAGAAAAAAGTGATCCTCCAGAAATCCTAAATAAGTGATTCCGATTTATATATAAAAAGAAAAATAAATAACACTTTTATTTTCTTGTTTAAATTGGAAAGCATGGGATATCCCTTAAAAACTCGAAGGCACAAATTAAATTAACAGTAACAATCTCTAGATTAAATCAAATAAAATTACTCGGCGAATGGTAATGTCTCTAGAACTAAACCCGACAAACATTTTACCAGGAAAATCCGGAAAGAAATTAGAGCACTAAAAGAACAGGCACAGGAAACATCTCAATTCTCTGAAATCTGAACTGAAGCAGAAATCTCCAGGGTAATAATGGCAGTAAAGTTTCGAAAGTTTATGCAATATTTCTGTATTAAAATGAGTCAACGCATAGCGCAATTATTTTTTATTAAAATCATCGAAACAACTTATTTACCTTCCCAAACTATTTAAATGCTCTTTAATTGTAACTCTAGTTCAGTGGATGCTTTTAACTGCTGAAAAACGTTCTTTAATATACATTTACTCCTATTATTAAATATGATATCTCAGTAAGACAAGATACGGAAACATATTTTAAATAATACTTTCCTATATTACCAACTTGTATTTATAGTGTCTTTTCTTATAATATTAACCATCTTTTAATTGTCTTGCTGAATAATATTTACAATATAATTATAACTTGTTAGTACTTTATTCTATTAATAATTTTACAAATAAACTAAACAGTGTATTATTTCATTATTTAATTTATAATTTTAACTTTTATTTATTACACAGCTATATATCCTCACTATTGGTAAACAGTATGTTGAATCTATAATTTCAACTATTATTGTTTTATATCTTTATATATAGTCAGTTATTTTTATAGTTACTTAATCTTAAGTTTTATTTTACATTGTCTAGGACATCTAATATTCCGAATACCCTGCTATAGGAGTTCTCTCCCTTTCAGGGTGGTATGCTCTGATTACAATAGTAAGTGTGGGACCTGTGTGGCAGGTTATGTTCCCAATATATTATAGCCAATTTTGCTATTTTTACTTTGCATAATATAAAGTGGGAAATATGATTTGGGGAAACCCCGAAAACCTAAATCACGATACTGTACAATAATGTGACAATGGTTTATATATGTGCTTGGGATGGGTAGTTTATCTTATACAGGGCATTGTATATTCGATCGACAATGCTTTACCACAGATAGCTCTCATTAATTTATGAATTTTGATATAGTAACATAAACCCTTAAAGAGCTTAGTTATCGAGATACAGGGTGTTAAAAAAATTTAAATCAAAATCCAAAATTTGCTATACATTAAAAACATCTTTAAATATTTTTTTTTTATTTTGATCTACCAAGATCTTGTCAAATACACGAACTGTTAAAAATTTGACAGGCGCTTAAATGATTATAATTTAGAAATATTGAGTCGTTGAATGATCTAAGCACATGCAGACTTTTATTTAGAAGCAAATTTCTGCAACACTGTTCATTTCAGCTCCACAAAGGGTTCCAACTTTTTTAACTAGAAATGATAACTAAAAAAAAAAAAATATTAAAAATGAAAACAATGTTTGTTCCAGTGGCGTAAAAAATAGGGAGAAAAATTGCTTCTAAACTTGATAGCGCCCCACTGGCTGAATTTTTCTAAAGTTAGTTTATGTCAAAATATTACTTTCTTAAAGAAAATATTGGTCACCAAAGTTGAAAAAACATATTTAAAGGCGTTTTTTAGAGGCCCATGTTTCTATATCAAAATGTATCAATTACCAAGAGATTTTTGGGGTAGAGCGTTGTCGGTGAAATATACTGAAGCTCAGCAGGGAGTGGGAGTCAAAGAATAATCTTATGTTAGATTCGGTTTGCGGAATAGTGTGAGGCGCCAAGGGCACCAGGGGGTTTGTAGAGTGTTTTATCAGTGTGTGTGAGCCTTTCATAGTGCGAGAGATGTATTGTTTCCTGAGGGTTCGGAAACGAGTGAGAATGGGGATATTGGAGATGTTTTTGAAAACTTCTAACACTCGGAGAACGATAGGGAAAATATTGGCATCGTCGGAGTATACGTCTCTCGAGTGTGGTGAGTCTGTGACCAAGATGTGTTGAAAGTACCGTGTAGGGTACTGCTCTGTACTCGGCAACAAGGCAAAAAAAAATTGTAAGTGTGAATAAAAGTGATAGGGTTGCATTGTCCAAATCATCCACATAAAGCTCCAAGGAAAGTAGCTTGCCATCGCAGCATATCAAGAGTGCGTTAGATATCCGAAGACCAGTTGAGAGTGCGGGAGAATCGCATTTCCAAATAGTAAACTTCAGTCTGTTTGGCGAGTCTGACTCCCTGGAGATTCATATTAACGTTCTGGGCAAGCAGCGTTTTAGCTTACGAGCGCAGAGCAGTATCATCGGTATAGAGAAGACGATGGGTGTTTTAGGGGAAGAACATTACATTAGAAAACTTTATTTACATGTTTTAAAAATATTCACATATATACAACATTATATAAAATAAAAACTCAATTCCCGGGGGTTTTGGGTCGGCTTTTGCAGTTGCCTGCTGGGCCAATGGCGATATTCTCACCTATTTTACACAGGGTTGTTTAAATTTGATGACTTGGCTAAACATAGCAGCCCTCACTCCTTGCCTAATAGGCATTATTAAGGGGTTGTGGTGTCTTTGTAGTCGGTAATTGTCTTAGTTTAGAGATTTGTCGGGGATTAGTTTGGTATTTGTCCCCTGAAAAAGCTAGGAAAAAACAGGGTTGTCAGCGTTGTATGTTGGTCTTTCGATAGTCTTCGTTATTGTCACAATTCACAGGACTACTGGACTGTAAAACCACCCGAAAGTGCCAAAGTCGGGGACGGGGTTCGCCCTCGGCCGTGGCACTGCCAGTCGATTTCACCGTTCAGTCGTCCGTCCGACTAGATCTCGTAAGTATCTACATCGGGTGAATTGTTGTTTAGTACGTTATGCTCAGTGGAGGGTCCTGTTATTGTCGTCGGTATATGCTCAAACATTGATGTAGACAGCCGTGCTTTCTACGCACGCCGTCTTCCCGATGTATGTTGATGATGCTATCCCTCAACTCATC